GTACCCAGCTCCTAACTGAAACATGAGGTTGGAGCACCAACACAAAAGAACCTGACAATCTATCTGCTCCTGTAAAAATGACCAAACCCACTGTCGTCAACTTGGCTCAAACTTCTTCTATCAGGTTTCTGAGGCTGCCCTGGGCAGGTCAGCTGTAAGGGCTATGTCTTCAAAATGATGGAGAGTAATGGTGTCAGTCTGAAGACTAAGGTGCACCTGATTCATGCTATAGTCCTCTCAATCACTTGATACTCATCAGAGCACTGGAAAGTGAATAAAATGACAGGAAAAAAATTTATGCTTTTGAGTTTTGGTGTAGGAGAAGAGTACCGAATATCTAATGGACTTCCAAAAGAACAAATATGTCTTGGAGAAGGTGCAGCCGGAGTGCTTCTTGGAGACAAGGTTGGATGAAGCTTCTTTTGCAGTCCCATTTTTTAGTGAGTTGTCTGTTTATATAAATGAGGCATGTTTGGGGTGGGATGTATCCTGAATCTCCTATATTGATCGACATATATAGACAAGTATATATTTACATCCTCAGAACCTGCTAGGTCATTATGAGCTTGAAAGATACTCCATAGCAGGGGATACGGATAATCCTTACAGAGGTGGATCGGGTCTTACCAGTGGGTATAACTCAGTCACCTCGGGGCTTCGCCTGCATACAGAGGAAGGCAGACTCTGGCAAGGTTCACTCTTTGTTCTGGATCCTGCGTGTAGCTTGTCTGTTCTCATCTGACCTGCGGGATGTCAATTGACCTTGTGAGCCCGCCACCTCTCAGCCCAGTGCTCACATGCGTCCGAAACACCCTTCAGACTGCTTACTTGGATGCACAATCAACACTCGGGGTGACAGAGTCAAGAAATAAAGACAAGTTGCACTGGGGAAATCTGTCAAGGATCTCACCAGAGTGCTCGAAGACATCAATTTAAGGACTAAGTTGTGCCTAACCCAAGCCGTGGTCTTTTCAATTTCCAATGTGCCTGAAAGCTGACAAGAATGTAAGAATGACAGAACTGATGCCTGTGAGCTGTGATGTTGGAGAAGAGCGTTGAAATACACAGAATGGCAAATGAACAAACTTGTCTATCTTGGAAGAAGTGTACGTAAGGTGCTCTTGAGAGTCAAGTAGGGAGACATTTCTCTCTCATGTATTTTGGGCATGACATCAGGAGGGGCCAGTCTTTGGAAAAAGTCATCATGGAAAGGTGGAGGGTCAAACGAGAGGAAACCCCAGAGCAAGGTGGACTGACACAGCGCCTGCAGCATTGGGCCCCAGCACTGCAGAGGTAAGGATGCCACAGGACAGGACAGTGTTCAGCTCTGTTGTTGGTGAGGCGACTCGATGGCACCTGACAAGGCTACACGACTGTGAGAGCCCTTTTCTGGACAGTTTGTGAGTTCTGTGGGACACCGCAGTGAATTGTGGAACCCGAAGAATAGAAGGGAGCAGCCTGTGGGGAAGCGGGGTGCGGACGTTAGAGACGACGGAGAGGTACGATTGGAAAACCTGGACATGTGGGCCATGTCTCCCACCCAAAGGAACCAATTGCGTATGTTGAGTCTTCCAAAAGAACTTCATCGTGCAGCACGCGTATTATTTTATGCCTAAGATACTCAATAAACGTGCAATGAGAAGTCTTAGCTGAACTGCAAAGAAATGTGAAGCAGAAACCGTGGTTACAGTTTGGTTGGTTACTGTCTTAATATGTAGACATTTCATGCTGCAACAAACCAGGGCAGTTACTCTCTTAATATGACAGGGACATTGGTTGCAGTGCTTAAAAACATCGACTCAGGATCCAAAAGACCTGGAACTGTTATCCCAGGAAAAGTATCTCTCTGTTGAGTTTACATTTAAAAAAAAATGGTTTCCAGGAGATAATCTCTAAAACTGGGATTTCTTTAATGGTTTGTGATTCTCTGATGCAGACTCCAGATCACACCTACCAGAGGGTGCCTTGGGTGTGGGTCCCACTTTGTGATGGCATCCAATGATGACCACCTTCTACACAGGGTGGCCGACATTCTTTCTAAATGCTGTGGACACTGAATCTCCATGAGCTTCCTGACGGACGTCAGCTGCTCTTAGGAGAGCAGACATGCTCTCTGACCCAGCAGTGGTTTGGGGAAGCCTCCCACCTTCTGTTCGCTTTATGTTGATTCTGACTTGTCTCCATCAGGATAAAGCTGTGGACGTAGGTGTGGACATTTCCTGTGAGTCATTGACCTCCAGGGCTCATGGGAGACAGCCGGTCAGAGGCGAGGAGGACTGGGCGATGCCCGAGATTGGGGCTGGAATCCTGAGGGGGGAGTGGAACACATTTCTAGTCCTGGGGACCCCAAATCTTGAGACTAGCCTCCAAAGTCATAGGCTGGCACCAAAGCAGTGAGCGCTTAGTCCCAGTGATCAGTTGGAAGAAATGGGGTCGGCTGATGGGGGTCTGAACACAAGCTGGAGAGGGGACCATGCCGAGTCCTCTTCTTCGTATTTTCACTGCCGGAAGCCAAAACGTGTGAAATGTTGAGAGGACCTGACCCCCAGCAAATGCTTGCTACGTAATTCATTTTTTGGTACAGAATTTGAAAGCTCATTTTTCCACAGAAATAAACCATATTCTTCTAGCTTATTGACTTCTCAGTTGGTTCAAATTCAGTAGAGAAGAGGGGTGATTTGTAGTGTGTTACCTCAAACCCCCATGGGAAATACTATTCATTCTCATTCTCTCTCTCTCGCTCTCGCTCTCTCTCTCTCTCACACACACACACACATCTCAAGGGTCAGTCTAAGCTCAAATGAGAATTCCCTAAAAATCAGCCACACTTTCCCATCCCTCTTCCCCACTCATCTGCTGCAAGGAGGCTAAGCAGAAACTGGAACAAAATACCTTTTGATTTCATTTTAAAATGAGTAACATCCTTATGGATTTCTTTTTTTAAAAAGGTGACAGCTGGTAAGATAAAGTGTATATGGGTCTGTTTCTTGTGAAAATCCCTCACTGGTGGCCTGTGGATTGTTTTGATATGTCTCAGAGATGTAGTCATTTTAAAACACGAGGGATTAAGGATACAAACCGTATTCTACATTTAACTTCAATCTTCTTGAAAGGAAATAAACAAAACACACCACCAGACTGGAAAGCTTTTTAAAATATAATTTAAAACTATTCTGTACCAGTACAATATATTAATCTTACAAATGTAAAATTTTATCAGCCGTTAAAGCATTTGCAAAAACCACACATCCTACTTCAGCTTTATTGCACAGTTATCTATTAAGAAAATATTACTTTTTAAATTAGAAAACATAAAAATGCTTTCACTATAGAGAAGAGACAATCTGATTTTAAAGACAATATTCTATGAGAACATCTACTCAGAAAATAACAGGCTTTCACAGGATACCGAGATGGAGAGGTGCTTTGGCAAACCTGGCGCAGAGCCTTGTTAAAGACCAGGCCGTGGTACTGAAGCCAACCTGTATCGGAACTCTTCATTAGAAATCTAGACGCCGCAGGAGGCGGGGTCTTACTTGAAAGGGTTGAGGCATTTCTCAGTCGAGCATTCTGAATTTTTCTTAGTGACAACCACGTTCTCAACAGCCATGCGCACGCTTCCTTCCACCTACACGATCTCTCTCACAGTTGTTTAGAACTAGTAATGATCTCTTCCATTCATTTATGCGGATATAAAACATTAAGTTAAATACACTTTGAAAAGCGAGTCCTTTATAAAAATCCATTTATAAATTTGCGTCATAAAAATTAGTGTCCGAGGCCAGCCAGATGGCCTTCACGTATGCTTCCCGTGAGATGCGGTTCCACACTTGAGATGGCAGATGTATTTTTCTCCGTAGTGTCATCAGGAATGAAATTCAAGCCCTGAGCCGGAATCCCAAGGCAGGGTAAGAAAAGTCCTATGAGGGGGTTTTGGTGGGACAGACCCTGGGCCCATCTTACCAGTGTGGGTGTTAAAATACTGACGGCAAACTCGGGGGGCACAGACAATGAGTAAAACTGAGAGATGCAATGGGGGGGAGGAAATGTGCACATATATTTTTCGGGGGTTGGGGGGATGTAGCACAGAAAGGGCAAAATTCTTCAACAGAACAAATACTGACCAGAATTCACGGCTACAGATGACAGGTAGCCTCTCTTAATAAAGCAAGTTGGATTCATTCTCAAGCTTTAGAGCAAGTTGATGACGGGCCTTTATGAACCTGGAAATTCTCTTTTGGAACTTATGTCCCGCATAAGTCGAGTCAAATGTGACATACCACATTTGTGTAGAGAAAATAGGAAAATAGTGGTTCTGTGCACACGTTTTGCTTCAGGTAGACACAATTATCAAAAAACCCGGATGCTTACAAAAAAGGTTTGCAATAGTTAGGATCTCCACCGTAAGAATCAGCAGTTGCTTTTTCAGAACAGCGATTTTCAGAACTGCTCAAAGCACCTACTCTAGCTGAGTGTTTAAAATATATATAAAGTCTACGAGACTTCAAACATCACACACTTCACCTTTTTAGGGTTTGTTTAAATTATGCAGCCCTACCCTTAAAAGTCCTTCAGAAAGTAATACACTCTCAAACTCCATTTTTTTTAAAAAAGAAGAAACAAACATTCACGGTCTGAAGATTTTTCTGGATTTCCCCAAATCATGGTACTGTGTGCATTTCCTCTGAGACAGAATTTGAGGGAATCCCTGATGGTCTATGATTGGATATTTAACTAGTGGGCTTGTCATAGAAACTTTACATTAATAGCAGTCAACAGATTAAAGTCTAGTCCATAAAATTTAAAAATGTTCTAGGAGTTCAATTTAAATATGCAGCTGCAAATCTAAAAAGGTGGGGTTTTTTTTTGTTTTGTTTTTCAAAAGTGCTAATTATTACATTTACTTCAATACATTATGTCCAATTCTTTGTAAAACTGAACCACTTCTGCTTTGAGCACGCTGCTTGTAGCGTCTCCAAGCAGCTGAGGGGGAAAGGAATTCACTTGTCAATGAGTCCAGCCTCCTTGATTTTACTGAAGAAGAACTTCTCCAGAATATTGGCACATTTGTAATATTCACTTTCGGGTGGGTTGTACTCTTTGCAGTTGGTAAACACTCGCTGCAAGTCGGCCATGAATAATTTCTTAGACACATAGTACCTATTTTTGAGGCGTTCACTCATGGTCTTCAGATCTGTAAAAAGAAAAGAAAAAATAATTATATATATTCATATACACAATCTTTTGACTTCTCTATGTCCCTGACAAAACTGAAACCCTGCACACCTGGGTTTATTGCTGCTTTGCTCACAATAGCAAGGAGCTGGAAACAACCCAGATGCCCATCAACAAACAAATGGATAGAGAAGCTGTGGTATATTCACACAATGGAATACTATGCAGCATTGAAAAATAAGGAACTCATATACAAAATGGGTGACCCTGGAGGACTTTATGCTGAGTGAAATAAGAGGACAAATTTTTCATAGGGACACTGTTGTAAAACAGGACTGACATCAGGGTTGGGGAAAGACTGAGAAAGATAGGATAACTTACGTATACTGCATTGAAACAGATGAGGGAGAGAACTGTTTAAAAGGGATATATGATTAGGTATTATTGTCATGACAGGAGTCCAGAACGAAGGCTGCACAGTGTAGTGGACCTGGGGGAGGGCTGTATAACAATGAAAGAATTTCTCTTTTACTTTTCAAAGAGAAGAGTGAACTGGGGCGGGGGAGAGGGGGCAGGGAGAAAAGTGCAACAATGAATGAGTGGAAATTCAAAGTCTCTGTAAACTTAAAAAAAAAAAAAGTGTTACAGCTCTTTTTGAATTTGTCTAGCAGGTCTTCCAGGTTTTCCCGGAAGGCCCTAAAGAAGAAAAAAAAAAAAGAAAATAAAATTTAAAAAATAATAATGAAAAAAATCAACCTGAAACCAGCAGAGAGATCTAAGACATTGATTTGATTACATCTTGATCATCTCAATGTCTTGGCTTACAATAAATGCATATGCTCAAATTCTTATATTTGTTCTTTCTTGAGGGTTTTTTTTTAAAAAAAATACAAAAATCATAGCCATTTCAACATTTAAAATGACTTTGATAATAAATAAAATAGCCAATTGGCTGTCATCAGATCGATTGACTCACATGACCATGGCTAGGTCTCTGTGGTGTAAATCCTAACAGAGGGAGACAGTCCTCTGGCCCACAGGCCCCACCCTTTTGGGAGCTGTGTCCCATGCTCCAGATTGGGCCATCAGCGTTAACGTGAATTTAACGGAACACACTCTCACTCACTGCCGTCGGGCTGGGACCGACCTAGTGGGTTTCAGAGGCTGTGAACTGGAGGGAGGGGACTGTCCATCTTTGTCCTGCTGAGCTGCTGGGTCTGCACCATCACAAAGGCCTAGGGGTTACCAGGGTGACTCCCCACTGACCAGGCCCCCAAGGTGCCTTGTTACTTTAATGGGCAAGAGACTATTTGCATCATCTGGTCCAATCCTCTGTCCATCACGAGGAAGCGGATCAATTGGCAATGATGCGGACGAAGAGCTCATGTGTGGAAATGAGGCACTAAGAACTCTTCACAAGACGCTCAGTCCTGGCTTAAGGCAGGCGAAGGGCTTGCACTGAATCAATCAATGAAAACAATCACACGGAACTTGTTTCACCACATCGGCGGCGGTATGATGCACTTAGAATTTGAGAAACCGAGCGTAAATATACCTACAAATATGCCAGAAACCCTGGACATAAAACACTGTTCAAATGAATTGTGTTTTAAGTTCAAGAATAACCTACTTCATTTAAAAAAAAAATCTCAAAAACAAGTGAACCTTTCAGGACTACCTGTAAAAACATTTCCCCAACAGATCTCCTTGCTTGAAATCACACAGTACTCTTAACTTCATACAAATACAGCAGGTCTTCTTCAAACCTGGTTTCTCAGGGATAATTTACTGAATCCCATACCAATGACAGGAGGTGCTTCAGGACAGGCCCAGGTCCAGCGTTCTGTGGTTCACAGAGTCACTATGAGACGTAGTCACCTGAGTGGCGCCCAGCAATGCTGAAGGAGCCCTGGTTTAAGTGTCTCACTTCCTAAGAGGCTGGCAGCTGGAATCCCCCCTGCTGCTCCAAGGCAGGAAGGTGGGCAGGCTCCTCCCATAAAGGTTTATTAGCCTCAGGGTCCCAAGCCCATCAAAGTTCACAGAAAGGGCGCAGGGCAGGGCTCACTGTTCACAGGGTCACTACCGAGCTGTACCTGACTCGCTGACACCCAACAAGAAGAAACATAACACAGTCACCGTGACTTAGGGCCAAGTCAACACGGGTGAGTTAACGGTTAACTTGTTTATGGGTTGTCGCCAAAGCCTAGTTCCAGCCTTAAATATCGGTAAGTGGGTTGACTGCACATGAAACACAAGTCAGAGTGTCTGTAGAAATGACCCAAACCTTGACATTTGCCTCCATCAGCTCCTCACGTTTTCTAGAAGGAAAGTCAAAATCGCATGTAATGGGATTCCATTTACGAGAGTAAGTTCCTGGGCAGTGTGATGGGCAGAATGAGGAGGGCCGCATTGTAACAGTACCCACAATCCACCAAAGAACGTGGGAACATCGCTTCCATCTCTGGACCTTTGACTCTGGCTCTCTCATTGGTCATCAGATCTGTGGACTAAGCTTTACCTTTTTCTTTCTTTTCCAAATGAGACTTCGCTGGGAGAGAAGTCTAAAAAAGCTCAATATATACAAAGGCTCAGCTACCTTCAAGCCTCTTCTCTAGGAGACCCTGCAGGACAGAGCAGAACAGGGTGCCTGGGGACACAATCATCACAGAAGCAGATGGCTTCGTCTTTTGCCCCATGGTGCAGATGGGGGCTTTGAACAGCCAATCTTTCTGGTAGAAGCAGAACGCTTAAACCACCTCACCAAAAAGACTCAGCAAAGCCCAACTAAAGGTCTCATCCAGGTGTGACTGAGCCACGTACAGACGCTTTCATGAGGCAGGAACTGTGCGCTGTAGTCCTCTGGGGGAGACGCCAAGGGGACGATGCTGATAGGCTGCCCAACAGACTACTTTAACAGTGAAAAGAAAACTAACTGGGGAGAGGAGTGTGGGGGAGAAGAGAGAGAACAAACTTTAGAGAAGTGGGACTGACAGGCTTTGCAAACTTTATCAGGAGATGAGATGAAGGAAACAAAAATGTACTGTAAATAAAGCAAGAGAGGTTTGGTGAACAACAGCCAGTCCTACACATTCCCTGCCTCTTCTAAAGTTATGAATCCATTTTACTTGCTCTGGACTTCTTTTGATTTTTTGCAGTGACCAGAGTGCCTGGGTTAAAAAAGCTTGGCAATACCAAAGATGGAGACGGCACTAAGTTAGTCTGTTTTTTTAACATTTACTCCCGACTTGGGAATTCTCAGGGGGTCAACTCTGTCTTCCAATCCAAGCACACCAAGGAGACACAGCAGCGAGGGCGGGCTACCTCCTTACTGCCCAGCGCATGGAAAGTGATTCAGATCACACCCATGTGGGGGATAGAGAAGAAAAGAAGGTCTTTCAAAAGACAGTAACAGGGACAAGGAAAACGCCTCACGTGCCATTCCTGACCTCAAATTTGCAGCTCTTTTTGGGGCAACATTACCTATTTGCTTAGTACCTGAAGGTATCCTAAGGCAGTGGGGTGGGGTGGGGGGTAGTGCTCTAATTGTTGTTATGTGCCCTACACAAGGAGGAATCTCACCCCACCCCCCATTGTAAGTTTTCTCTGCCCAACAGAAGTGCCCTCCGACCTCAACAAACACGGGGGGCCTCCAACCCAGCCCTCTCCGCCCGCCCCCGGAGCTCGAAATCCACATTTAAGAAAATGTGAGCCATTACCCATGGGGAACCTTATAACTTCATAATAGCCCGGAGCTTCGGTTCTCTTCACTGGTTCCATGAAAGGCCAAGCACTTTGGTGGCTCTTGGGTAAAGAAAAGAGCAGGGTGTCATGTGAGACAACGTCATGGGGGAGGTCAGGGTGGCCTACGTGCAGGAGGCGAGGGGGAGGCACACGCACCTTCACCTGCTGGAGGACGCTCTTGAGCGTGCTGTAAAGCTGGTCGGCGTCTTTGGGGTCTCTACTTGAAAGAAAAGCAAACAACCAGGACCGCGAATTAGGCTTTCACCCCGTGGCGGGCTGACTCCTAGACACCTCATTCTTACAAAAACCTCCAAGTGCAATCCTTGCAGAACTGTTTATGGACGTGGCCGCCAAGCCAGTGTTGGACTGGAGACTACAACCAGTTAGTTTGCCCTTTTGCTCCAAGTTGCTGGGAGGGGAGAAGTGGCGTCCATGGACTTCCTTCTGCCCGTCATACTTACCTTCTCTCTTTTCCACTTGGTTTCCAGCCTGTCTCTCCTATATGTCAACGAAATTAAACACTGAATGAGAACTGCTTTCGGTCAAGAGAATCACATAGTTAACACTTATCTAAAACGCAATGAATTACAGCCATGCCTCTATACACGTCCGCCTGGGGGAAGGTAGGGCCTAACGCTGACTCCAAGGCACCTCCTTACGCAGCGCACACGAGGAATCATTCCCTGGACTGTCACGACTTCCCTGTACCTGAGTGGTTTCCTCAGAGGAGCTTCTACTTGTCAGAAGCATTTGTAAAAAGGTTTGCTTTCAAGCACTATGCGCGTGGATGGTTCCCAACTGTATTTGCCTGTGTATTCTTCACTAGCTTATTAACCACGTCAGAGAGTTAAGAAGCTGTGATTTTAGATTAGGAAACCGTACATCCTCGTCATTTTTATTTGACCAAGACACGGTTTGCCATGGGAGATGGTTCTGTCCAACTAAAGGGGAACACAGCCTGGACTTGGGGCGACGTGGTCTGACTTCTCCTAACAGCTAATTAAACTCTTAAGAAGTGATAATCAGGGGTGGGGAAAAATTAAGGGGTCATTCCTTTGCAGCTGAGGGGCATGCATGAAGAAGGGTGTCGAACCCGGGAAGCAGCCACCCTCACTCACAATGTCCCCAAGCGAGTGGGAGCAGAACTGCAGAGGTTTCCAAGGCTGTCACATTTAGGAAGCAGATTGCCAGGCCTTGCTTCCAAGGACCACCCTGGGTGGCTTTGAACCATCAACCCTGTACCTAGCAGTCTAAAGCTTAACCATTCACGCCACCCAGGGACTCCTAAAACAAAAACTCTCTAGGTCTATCAGTGTTAGTAAAACCTGCTGTAAAATACGTCATGTAGGCAAGTCCTACACCTTGTACACCCCAGCCAGACAATGTCTCATCTTCCTCTTCCTGGAGAATTTCAGTTTGCTTAATTCTGCTTTATTCAATCCTCAGTGCAGTAGAACCACCCAGATTTTAACAGTGTGAAGTTACTGATATTCAGGGCCTTGTGACTGACAGTAATAATACTTCAAAGCTAGTTTGTACGGTTTAACCGAGTAAGACCCACCTTTAAGAGACACACGGTCATGAACCCCTGGCAAAAACTCTTTTAACAATGGTATAATGTGTCCTCAAATCCACTCTAACAGGACAGAATTCAGAACCCCACCCTCCCAGGTTCCCAGCGTGCGGTCTAACTTAAAGCGTGCTCTGGAAGTGCAGTGGAAACGGGGGGCTCTCCGCTTAGATGAACTTACAGCTCTGGAACCTCTAAGGGGACTCTGTCTGCAGGGTTATGAGGCATCAGAATTGCCTTGCCACCAACAGGTTCATCTTTAAAAGAACAAAATCGCCACGGGGACTAATCATCATTGTCCCACAGGGCAGCGGGGGTCCAAACCACCACACAGTCTGTTAGTGGCAAAGAGCTTCACTGCTGAGCCACAAGGGGTCCTGGGAAAACGCTGGGGAACTCTGAGGAGTGGCATGACCTCCAGCACACGCGGCAAGAGGTGTTTCTCTCCCGTTCTCGGAACCGAGCGCTGCCCCAGCACCGGCCACGGAAGCTGAGACACCGCGCCGACAGCAAGATGCTGGGGAGGTCCCCGTGGAGCTGCCCCTTTCTCTACAGCAACGTCACTGCCCCCAAGTCGGTCCTGACCCGGACACTCCATCGGGTTTCTGAAGCTGTGGATCTTAACAGGAGCAGACTGCCTCTTCTCTGTCCCCCTGACTGGCCACCGCGGTGCCTTCGATCTGAGGGCTTGCCCTGAGCTCAGGGGCCCAGTCTGGACAGTTGTGCTGTTAACAGACAGGCAGTGGACAGAATCCACCTGCATCTCAGGAGAAAGGCGGGCAGTCCACCCTGTGCGATTGACAGTCTCTGAAACCCCGCTGGGGGGTCACCAGTGAGTCAGCTCCGACTGGGTGGCAATGAGGTTTCTTTCTAGTTATTTGCCAATTACAGTTAAGTGGTGTGACCTTTCTGAGAGGCACTTTCCCCCTATAAAAGCAGAATTCTTCTACCTGCCAGAGCAGCACTGAGCTACAATTACCAGACTCGCAATCAATCAATGCTGGAGATTAATAGCTCTAGTCAGGGGTCATTTAAGCTTTGGGCTTGTTCGTGTTGAGAGGAGTAAGAAAGGCAGACAAAAGGAGGGCTTTTGCTACTTTCTTAAAACAAATGGGAATAAACACCCACTGAGACCCACGAGGCCACCAAGCCTCCGAGTTCCTGCTCTTAATAATCGTTACACGCACAGCTCGGCACCACACAACACGGGCTTCCTAAAAGCGGTCTATACATACTAATCCCAGGAATGCTCTCGATGGGAATCTGCCGGACTCCGTCTTTGAAACAAGAAAGTCCCGGGTAGACCTTTCGAATCTGGGCTTGCTTTCTTTCAATCAGCTTTTTAATAATCTGTAAAGCAGGAAAAAAAAAAAGAAGTGTGTTTAGGATAAAAAGGTTACTGTTAAATATAAAAATGAGATCGCGAGTATGAAGGACAGAAATAAAGAAACTGGTGCCAAGAAACGAACAGGCCTTTACTGCGTGGTCTGAGAGGGACGCCAAGTGACCCACCACACAGCATGTGGACAAGACTGAAATGGCACCGGGCAGTCTTGGGGGGAAGGTTCCTTCTTATAGGGGTCCTGGGGAGGACGAAGACGGGATTTCTCAGAATTTGGGTTGTAAATTAAGTTAGGCTTGGGCTATTTTGATCAGGCTCAGACCCTTATCAGGATCCACTGTCTGCTCTGCCTTTGATATGACCAGCTTAGATGTTATCAGGTTTCTCAGGAAGCAATCGATCTGGGGAGTGGTGGGGACAGGACAACTACCATATTCTTCATCAGTGACCCTCCAGACTGCCCACCAGACGAAGCATTCTCCCAACAAAAAAGAAAGCCTACATGAAGCAGAAGAGAAGATACTATTTCACAGTGAAGACACGGAACACCCCATCACACCAAGCCAGTTAGTGACATGCTTGCAACTGCCTGAAGGACTTGGTCCCTGCCACCCTGGAAGGTCAGGCCTGAAGGAACACACTCTTCCAAGTCCAATGTCATCTTGAGCATCAAGGCTAATAACGCGGCTGTCTTCTCTGAGAAGGCTCAGGTCCAATTACAGGAAAGCAGTCGAGAGCTTCCTTAAGACCCACCCAGTCAGGTGTCAGACCGCTTCACTCCAGTAACTACTCCCTTAGGGAGCTCTGGTGGCCTCGTGGTAGGAAGCGGAGCTGCAATCCTGAAGGTATGCGGTTTGAGCCCCCCTGCAGCTCTCAGAGAGAAGGATGGACAAACTTGAGTGAGATGAACTACCTCTGAAAACCCACTGGAGGGTGAGCTATGGGTCAGTTCCCACGAAGGGTCTGGCACAAACAACAACAATAACGAATCCCTTAAGACAGTGGGGAAAGGAGAGGAGTGGGCAGCCAGGAAGCCCCCAAGCCTGTGATGAACGGGTCTATTCTTATTTAAGTGATTGAAAAGGGGAGGCCAGTCTATGCCATTTACATCTGAAAAGCAGCTCTCCCCAGAAGCACAACGCTGGAAGGGTAGATCTTGAGAGATGGGCTGCTTTGTAACATCTTTCCCAGCCGACTGAGGTGACTTTGCCAAGACAAATCAGCTTTGCCTTCAATATACTCAGAACTACACTTCAGCACACAAGAAACTGGACCACCTGCTCACCGAATTCAGAGGAAAGCAGTAACAGTAAAAACAGTGGAAGCTGCCAGCTTGATCCTGGGCTGAAAGTCTTAACACGAGGACAATGCCCACCCTCCCCAGGAGCCCTGGAGGACTCAGATCAGCCCCTGGCCAGCAGGACAGCACACTGTCTCATAAACTCGCATCACATGCCAGCAAAACGCTGCGGAAGATGATCTCATAATGTCCAATCCGGAGTCCGTACCTTACTTCAGAAAGCCCAGACTATTGAAGGATTTGTTTGGCATATTCATTCAATAGGTATGGAGAAAGAATACATCCTGAGTACACACCTTTCTTGATTATAAACCACGCAGTCTACCCTTTGTCTGTTTAGATGACAGCTTCTTGGTCTAAGCATAGGTTTCCCATAAGCACAATCAAGTGTTCTGGGATTCCTATTCTCCTCACTGTTAGCCACTTTGTTGTGATCCACAGAATCCAATGTCCTTGCTTTCTTAACGTTGAAATGTGATCCATACTAAGGGCTGCAGTATTTGATCTTCTTTCAGCCAATATCCACCTGGTATTGGCAGTGAGTACATAGTTTAAAATCAGGAAGGGTGTGTGCCAGGAATAGGTCCTCTCTCCAGACCTGTTCCATCTGTATGCTGAGCAAAGTATTTGTGAGGCCAGATTCTTAAGCATGAGGATCTAAAGAAATTTCATCAGCAGCCTGTGTTACGGAGATGACACGAGCTTGCTTGCTGAAAAGTGAGAAGGACTTGAAGATCAAGAACTACAGTCTTCAGCATGGATTACATCTCAACACCAAGAAAACAAAGGTCCTCACCTTTTGGCCAATAAGTAATGTCATGAAAGATTGGAAAAGGATCGAAATTGCTGACTACTTCATCTTACATGGATCCACATTCAACCCCCTTGGGACCAGCAGTTAAGAGATCAGAAGACGTACTGCACTGGCTAGGTTCACTGTCAGAGACCTCTCCAAAGTGCTGAGCAGCAATGATGTTGTCTGAAGACCAAAATGAGCATGTTTCAAACCATGGTGTCTTTAATCACTTGCTGTGTGTCTGAAAGCAGGACAATAAATAAGAACGACAGAAGAAAAATTGATGCCTGTGGGTGTTGGAGAGGAGCACTGAAGAATATAAACAGTTATGTCGTGGAAAAGTGTAGCTGGAGTGCTCCTCAGCATCTGAGATATCATTGCTGATGTCAGATGGATCCTGGCTGAAAGCAAAGAATACCAGAAGAATGTCTATGCAAAAGCATTCCATTGTATGGATCGTAACAAGTTACGGCTAACACTGGGAAGAACAGTAAGCCCAGAACACTTGATTGTGCTCATGTAAAATCTATACCTAGACCAAGGGGCTGTTGTGGGAAAAGAGCAAGGAAACGCCAGATGGTTTAAAAGTAAGCAAGGTGTGTATCGGGGTGGTATCCTTTTCCCATACCTAGTCAATTTGCATGCTGAGCAAATTATTTGAGCAGAATGTGGCATCAGGTTAAGAGGAAGACTCATCAAGAGCCTCTGTTATGCAGATGACACATGGCTGCGGAAAGTGAGGAGGACCTGAAGCACTTGCTACAGAAGATTAAATACTGCAGCCCTTACTGTGAATCGCATTTCAACGTCAAGAAAGCAAAAAACAAAAATCCTCACCACTGGCCCGGTAGATGACATCATGCTAGAGGGAGAAAAGACAGAGACGAAAAATGACTTCATCTTACTTGGAATCACAATCAATACACTTGGCAGACAGGAAACCAGGAGATGTATTGCACTGAGAAAATCTGCAGTCAGGGACTGGTGCAAATTACTGAGGAGCAATGAGGTTAGTTTGAGAACTAAGGTGCACCTGTTTCAAGCCATGGTCTTTTTAATCATTTACAAAGCTGCTGAGAGTTCAAAAGCGGCTAAGGATAGCAAAAAGAGAAATGACACATTTGAACTCTGCTGAAGAGGAGTGCTGACTCTTTGAAACAAATATTTCATAAACTGCAAACAAACTTCTCACACATAATAACACTATATTGATAAGATACAAAATCAGGCTTACTATTAATGCCATCAGAGAGCTGACAGCATTAAAAGGCAAAACCAAACTCAATTTCAGAGAAGCACCATGCCTTTCAAAGAGAACCCTGCAGGGTAAAGAGAAAAATCTCCCACCTACGCTTTGCCTCTGCATTTCCTGCTTCCTGCATCATTCAGGATTTCGCACATACGACCCTTCAGTGTTGCAGCTCCAGGCTTGAATGTGTTCTTCAGTGCTTTCAGCTTGAAAAATCCTGGCATAGTCTTCTCTTTTTGGTTTTCTAACTCTAGCTTTGCATCTTTTGTACTATTTTGCTTTGTCTTCTCGAACTGTCCTTGAAACCGTCTGTTCAGCTCTTTTATCTTAGCATTCCTTCCTCTTGCTTTCAGCGTCTTTTCATTCCAGGACAAGCTTCAGAGTCTATTCTGACATTCACTTTGGTTTTTCCTTCCTTCCTTCCTTCCTTCCTTCCTTCCTTCCTTCCTTCCTTCCTCCCTCCCTCCCTCCCTCCCTCCCTCCCTCTCTCCCTCTCTCCCTCTCTCCTTCCTTTCCTGTCTTTGTAATGAACTTGTGCTATCTTGATATCCTTGAAGACATCACACAACTTGTCTGGTCTTTGGTTATCAGTGTTCAGTGCATCACATCTACTCATGAGACGGCTTTTCAATTTAGGTGGGATCCATTCAAGGTCTTATTTTGATTCTTGTGGACTTGTTTTAATTTTCCTCCCTTTCCATTTGAACTTGTACATGGCTGAGAGAATTTTTACACCTCGAAGAAATTAAACAAAAACAGTAACATGTAGACAAGGGGAACAGCAGCCAGTCAGTAGCAGCCCCAGGGCCATTCTGTCTGTCTTGTAGCGCTAGTCAGCGTTACAGGAAGTACTCCAACAACAAGTATTTGCTTAATGCAACTATAGTAATGAGTTACAGTCAGTCTACCCTAACTAGGGTAGGAGTGGTTGGCACTCGATCCTAACTAGGGCAGGAATGTCTGGCACTTGCAGAACTGGTCTGAGAACAAGCAGGCAAGAACAAGCATGACGTAAGTACACAGCTGGATGTCTGGACTGAGACGAAGAGAAAAGATCTAAGAAGTTCAAACTGATGGAGTGATGATCCTTCCAAGACACTTAACACAGAAGTTGAATTATGTGCTGCCTACAAGTCTGTTGATCACTGTCCCCCAGCCATTTCTCTTTTCTATACACTGTACACTTGGGGAAACGGAGTTTGGAAAAGAAAGCCTCCAATGCAGCCACCAACTAACTTTCTAGGAAATCTCCTTTCTTTTTCCAAGAAACTGGGGATGGTCACCCCCCTTTAATAGGTTCTTTTTTAGTTCACATGCAGGAAAGACTACTCCAACAACAGAAAAGAAACCCCTTAGCATTGGGACGATTGTTGCTGTGTTTTCTCAAGTCAGAGCCAACCCGTAGCTGAGCCTCCAGTGGGTTTTCTGAGGCAGTTAATCACCCTGGGAGGGGAATAGCCATCCTTCTGCAATGAAGCAGCTGGTGGATTGGAACCACGGTCAACACTCTTGGCACCAGTAGCCAGGAAATAAAAAAACATATTGCGATGGGAAAGTCTGCTGTCAGGGACCTCTCCAAGGTACTGAAGAGCAATGGTGTCACTCTGGAGACTAAGGTGTGTCTGATACAGGCTATGGTCTTTGCAATCACTTGTTATGCGTCAGAGAGTTGCACAATGACCAAGGAGGATAGAAGGAGAATTGATGCCTTTGAGCTGTGGGGCTGGAGAAGAGTACCAAGAGTACCATGGACTGTTAAGAAAACAGACAGATTCATCCTGGAAAGGGTTAAACAGGGCGGCTACTTGAAGACAAGGATTCTGAATCTTCGTCTGACATACATTGGAAATGTTGCCAGGAGGGACCAACCGGTCCTTGGAGAGGGACATCATGCTTGGGAGGGTGGAGGGACAGCGCAGGAGGAGAAGACCCTCTATGAGATGGATTGATTCAGTGATTGGGTAATGTTGGAGACAGTGCAATTGGCACACGACAGAGCAGAGTTTAGAGCTGTTGTACATAGGGTCGCTATGAGTCGCAAGTGACTCGACGGCACATAACAACCACCACCACCATCTGTGGGTTACCTGCGAAACTCTTTACCACTTGGCCCCCAGAGCTCCCCAGCAAGAAGATAAACATTTGGGATAAACAGTTATCAGCCAGAGAGACTGACTGATAAATCGTGATGTAAACTGAACCCCTTACCTTCAAGTCAAGACTGACTTGCAGCCAGCCCTCCAGAGGGTTGGCGGAGGCTGTAAATCACATGGGAGAAGACTTCCCCTCTTCCTCCCACAGAGTAGCCAGCGGAGACTGAGCGGGGCATGCAGCTCCCTCCACACTGGGTCACCAGAGGTGCCAAGTGATTGCGGGCAAGAGGTGAGATGCTTAGTCCCAGCCGCTGCACTGGACTTCAGAGGAGGGGCCGGGTCCTCCTTTTCCGCAGAGCCACTGCTGAAGGTGAGCCACTCGAGAAGCATGGACTCTGCTTAACAGAGCGACAGTGACCACACCACTTACAGCCCCGAGCAAGATGACAGTATGGCATCGTGCTGCCAACCCAAAGGAACGTGGTTCAAGGCCACCTGCTGCTCCACAGGACTAAAACAGACAGTGTCCTCCTGTGCAATTTCCTGTCTCTGAAAACCTGATGGAGGATCAGCTACAGGTCAGATCTGACTCAAAGCCAACGAGCTGAGTTCAACGGCCATATGACAACAGTTACAAGAGAGTGGAGAGAGAGAGGTGATTTGGCGGGAGGCTAAGTCCAGAATGGAAAAGTCCTTGAAGGTGGGGTTGACGTCTGTCACCATTCAATAAGGTTCAGGATCTCCCTGGCAGCAATGGGCATTTTTTGGTTTGTTTCTGTATTTGCTTTGGGGATTGACACTCCTAGGGACAGTAAGAGGAAGATGAAGGACTTGTCCGAGAACAATTGGAGAGAACCCCCAGCCAACGAAGACGGTGACTTCCCGCCGACTCACACACCCAGAGGCCACACGCGCCACTCCAGCGGCTCGCAGGAGGAACGTGCCGTCGGCGTATTACTTACCTCCTTCTGCTTTTTGATGATGACAGAAAACTCTGTGTACGGGATCTTCGGATTTAGCTCACATCCCATTAAAGTGGCTCCTTCATAGTCCTTGATGTAGCCAACGTATTTGGTTTTAGGTATTTTGATTTCTTTGGAAAAACCCTGCCAATTAAACAAATGCATGCCCGTGGGTAAGGGGCGCCACAGACCAATCACGTGAAGCTCTGGGCCTGGCCTGTGGGAAGCACGCTCTTTCCAAGTCCTCAGCGCACTGCCCACAGGGGTCCCCAGGCTGCAAATCTTATCCACAATCAATAATGTCTCATCTTCCTACTAGGACCAGCCAATGGCTTTGAACTCAGTTAGCAGGTGAACACGTGCAACCACTGCACAACCAGGGATCCTATGGCTTGGAGATGCATGTGTATGCTTCTTGTAGGTAAAGTAGGAAACAGTGAGACTGGAGCGTTATTTAGATGCAGGCTAACCGAGGACATAGAAGGAAAACCCACCGCCAACCGAGCCAATGCCAGGGCACGGCGACCCCTCATTGGGTTTCCAAAGCTGTCAACCTTCACAGGAAGAAACTGCCCATCTTTCCACCAAGGAGCAGCTGGAGTATTTGAAACACTGACCTTTCTGTCAGAAGCACCAACACGTACCATGTTATGCCACCAGAGCTCCTTATGTTAAGAAAAAAGAGCAAGAAACAGTAGCGAACATGATGGAAACGTACCTGTTTCTTGAAGTACCCAATTGCATATTCATCTGCATATGTGAGGAAGTTCAGGATGTTGTGCTTTATATGATATTCTTTCAAGTGGTTCATTAAGTGTGTTCCATAGCCCTGCGAGAAAGGAAGTGGATGGACAGACAGATTAGGTCCCAGAGGAGAAAATCCTATAAATGTAACAGGAAATGACTGTTAAAGTGAGGAGTTTGCACATGAACTGCTGAAACACAAGTAGTTACAAATGTCCAACGTAGCTACAGCTCACAGATACAAAAGAACTCCGCTAGAGCTTCTTATAATAAAAATCTGATGTATACAAATATCTCACTACAACAAATGGGGGTACTTTTTTATAAGAATCAAACAATATTATATTAAAGATGTTTTAGTGAAGGGAGAAATGTTTAATGTTTTTACGCATAGCAAGGAACACTGTATGCTATATTTGGGGCTAGGGGGTGGGGTTTGGGGAGGTGCGGTGGGGGGGGGTTGGGGACCAATGGGGGAGGTTTTAGGAGAGGAGCAAAGGGGGGGGGGAGGGGGGAGGGGTTTGTGCGGGGAGAAGGGTGCAACAATGAATGAATGGAATCCCAAAATCTCTGTAGATGTTCATTGAAATGAAAAATAAACAACCTAAATTTAAAAAAAAAAAAGAAAAATATCTGACTCACTCACATTATAGACAAACTTTTCTACAAAAGGATAAATTCAACTAAAAGACAGACTTAAGAGTGAAATTTATTCATAATCCTGAGACTTTTTCGGAATGAAATAGAATATCAACACCCTTTCACACATTTCTGAAAATGAGGTACAAAATTTAAAAGGTGAAAATGCTTGGGTCAAGATACAATCGTCATTTGAAAGCGGAAGCTGCTTGTTCTTTGAAAAGAACACACCAACCAGTTACCAGCTGCTAATTCATTTTCAATCCTAAATATTCCTTGGTGAATAGTAATATAAAAGGTTTGGGGAGCTTTTTCAATAATTTTTATTGTGATTTAAAAGAAAGTCTACAGAAAACTTGGATTTTCATACATTCATTGTTGCACATTTTCTCCATACTCAATCCCTACCCTAGTTGACTTTTCTCCTTAAATAATTCATTCATTGTTGTACATTTTCCTCTCCCTACCCCACCACAGTCTACATTACTATGCATTTCTTATTCTGGATTGTTGTCATACAAATAATGCCTAATTATATATTTTTTTTTTATTATATATTCCTTTTATTTATTTTTTTTATTGTATTATTTTTACATGTACCGTCAAATCACATCTGACTGGTACAGGAGGAGATTGCCCCCTCCTTCTCCAGCAGAGCATCTGGTGGATTTGAACCACGTACCTCTGGGATTGCAGTGCAGCGTCTTGCCACTAGGCCACCAGAGTCCCTTATATATATTCCTTTTAAATAATTCTTTCGCTCATCTGTTCTAATGCAGTGTTCCTTATCCTGTTTTATAACAGTGATATTATGCAGTATTTGTCCTTTTCTGACTGAGATATCTCACTCACTATAATGTCCTACCCATTTTGTATGATATTGTATGGTTTCCTTGTTTGTTTTTTCAGTGCTGTGTAGTATTCCACTATGTGAATATACCACAGCTTCTCTATCCATTCATTTGCTGATGGGCACTTAGGTTGCTTCCATCCCTTTGTGATTGTGAACAAAAGAGTAAATGTTGAATATGAACACTTGCTAGAACGTGAAATGAAAGATTATAATGAAAAATATAAGTGAAAAGGACTAATGTTTACTAGAGGGAGCTCGAGTAGCCTGGTGGATAAGGAGCTGTACGATCAATCCAAAGAGAGGCAGTTCAAATCCACCAGCAGCTCCCTGAGAACTATAGGCAATCTCCTCCCATGTGAAATGCAGATTCTGAAAACCACAAGCAACATCCTGGGTCCAGCAGTCACAAAATCAAAAGATGTGTTGTGCTGAGGAAAACTCCGCTGTCCACAGTGCTAAAGAGCAGTGATGTCCATTTAAAGACTAAGGTGTGCCGGAGTCAACTCCCTGCGTGTTCACTTGCTTCCTATACATTTCAATTGTCCGACAATGTGTTAAAAGGATGACTTGGGAAGATTTTTGAAGTCTTCCAGTTGTGGTGTGGGAGCAGAGCACTGTAGACTCCATGGACTGCCAAAAGAAAAATCTAGTCTCTCTTGGAGGAAGTGCAACCAGGGTGCTCCTTAAAGGCAGGGGTGGGGAAACTTGGTGTCACATTCTTTGGGCATGTTGGTCTGAAGGTTATCATTTGAAATGATAAAATATATATAATGATAAAAATGATAAAATGTGAAATGATAAAATTTGAAGGTTATCATTTGGCCAAGATTTTGGATGTATTTTCAAAACATAAATTTGGAAACATTTTTACACTCCCACTCAAGGATTCTTTGCATCGGTAGGTAAAACTGCACCTGAGACTAGTCAGCCTTATTCTTTATTCCTCCCTGAAGCCCGGTCTACTTCTCCGAGAAGCCTCACCGTCTGTCTGTCTCTCCAACTGCTGACAAGTCAGAATCAACTCATAGCTGGCCGTCTACTGGGTCCTCAAAGCTGTAAATCACATGGGAGGAGACCCCCCACCATCCTCCTGCAGAGCCACTAGTAGGTTTGAAATACCGGAGAGGCATCTGTTCAGCAAACCAAAAAAATTTAAACTCACTGCCGGTAACAGATTCAAAGTGCCAGAGGAGCCAGGCCTCGGGGTGAGGAGCACAACTGGGTACAGACCACACCACCGAAGCTCCCCTCCTGTGGATAAGTCAACACAACTCAGCAGTTTTTCTTTCAGACTCTACGCTTGCAAACAGAGAAATCTTCAGTACTGCGTCTCAGGATTAATGAAGGATACAGGCCAGTTAAAAAGACCAGTAAATTAATTAGTTTGTTCTCTCATTCCTGTTTTTATGAAACAGCAAGTTCTGAATATGATGTGAAAATATGTAGATATCTAAGCATGGCTTTGTCAAAGTCCTCTGTTCTGCTGCATTTGCAAAGACTGATTTTCATTTTCGAAAGCTACAGCTTCAATCCACTTACAAGAAGCACTGCTTTTTTTTTCCAGATCTTCCTACGGAGTTTGTGATGTTCGGCTCCCTTCCCTTGAGTCTTTAGGAAATTACATGGTTTGCGGAAAAAAATAAAATTGCCCTTCTGGGATGAAATAAGACAAAAGTACCCAATTCATATTAAATGCCTTTCATTCCCCTCTAGTGGCCCCAAAATAGTCCAAGTCAAACTCAACCAACCTTCCCAACCTGGTGAGGCTGTCTTGGAAAACAAAAATCGTAAAATCTTTTTTCTGAAATTATCAACCAAGGAAATTTTTCAAAGTCCCTCCCTACAAAAAGTAAAATTTTCTATTAAACTCCTAAACTCTAGACATTTGTGACTAAGTCTCTCACTGTAACAAAATAAAAAACAAAACAAAATCCAGCTATATATACAGCAACAGCACCATCTAAAGACAAACTGTCAGAATTCCCACCCCAAAAAAAAGAGGCCGAGCCAAGTCTCAAGTGAGCGTGGGCCTCTACCTCCTCTGACTGATGGGATGACTGACGTGAAATCCAAGAACAGCCTCTGTCCTGTGACACCAGTGCTGGGAGTGAAAGGCCCCATGTGCGCACCAGGGGATGACCCTGGCCAAGCGGCTGCAGCTGGCCGTGTGAACGGCGAGGAAAGGAAGTGGAAGCACCCACGGCCCTGGCTGTGCTGCCGAGCTGAGAACAATCTGGTCTGGTGACAAACCATTGGGCTGTTGTACATGGCACTGGCTGGCACGGGCTCTGCAGAGTGAACTGTGTTCTCAGACAGGAGGTGACCACCACACCTCAGCTATGAGTTGGCTCTGACTTGACCACAAGGAGATTACGACAGCTCATTAAGAAATCTTCCTCACATTTAACCCAAGTTGCAAGAGCAATGTTTTTGGGGTACTGTGTAAAATAAGAGAGATTTCTAAATTCGTTTCCTTTTGCATGCTTCCTTTAAACGCTATTAGGAGATCTGCAATAACATGTATGGTTCACATGTACAGTGTTTTCTGTTTTAGCATATCTCTTTGACGACGTAGCCTGAAAACTCCCACAATTTTTTTTTCTTAGCAACTATTTAATGTGGAGTTGTTTATCTTTTCATCCCTCAACATTTCCACAGCATTTTCTTCAAGGCTCCCAGACACCAAACAGGGAATATTTCTTTAGTTTCTCCCTCCTAAGAGCAAGCGACTGAACTGAATGCACACCCATGTTTATTGCAGCTTTGTTTACAATAGCAAAGAGTTGGAAGCAGCCTAGGGGCCCATCAACAAAGGAATGGATAGAGAAGCTGTGGTATATCCACACAATGGAATACTACGCAGCATTGAAAAACAAGGAACTCATGCAATATTATTCAAAGTGGGTGACCCTGGAGGACATTATGCTGAGTGAAA